AACGCTTGGCTTACCAAATTTACGCCAATTGATAAAATTTTGCGATTTAAATTCATTTTAAATAATGTAAATAACTATTCGTGTTGAATTGAAAATCGCCTCGTCTGAATAGGGATAGCAACTTTTTCACTTTCAACTTCTCATTCAACTCCGCATTCAACTTTTGTTGCCTGTAAAATCGCCTCGTGCGAATGCCCTATAAAACTCCTCTCTAGAGATTTACTTCCTATTCGGTACCCGGTACCGATTCTTTACATTAAACCTTCGCCATTATATACGTCCGTAAACTTAGCTGACCCAAGTCGCCAAAAATCAATAAAAATTATCTAGAAATTAGGCGTATTTTAGGTGTTAATTAGGGCCCCCCAAATTAATTTAGGCGTTCCTTTGGTTTCCGAGAAATTCGCAAAAATGTGTGGGTCAGCTAGGTTTACGTAAACCTAGGTTTTAAATTTTCCAAATATATGCTGGAATTAGGTGTCTTTTAGGTGTTCTTCAACGCCACTAAAACTAATTTAGTAGCTCCATTAGTTTTCAAGAAATTCGCAAAAATGTGTGTTTTCAGCTAGCTTAGCTTAACCTAGTTAACAATCTTTAAATTTTTGTTTCAAATTTTCGAAAAACATATATGCAGGAATGAGATGTCTTTTAGGTGTTCTTCAACGCCACTAAAACTAATTTAGTTGCTCCATTGGTTTACGAGAAATTCGCAAAAATGTGTGGGTCAGCTAGGTTTAATTTAGTAGCTCCATTGGTTTCCGAGAAATTCGCAAAAATGTGTTTTAGTGGCGTTGAAGAACACTTAAAAGACACCTAATTCCAACATATATTTGGAAAATTTAAAACAAAAATTTAAAGATGGGTCAGCTAGGTTTACACATTTTTGCGATTTCTCGGAAACCAATGGAGCTACTAAATTAGTTTTAGTGGCGTTGAAGAACACCTAAAAGACACCTAATTCCTGCACATATGTATTTCGAAAATTTAAAACAAAAATTTAAAGATGGGTCAGCTAGGTTTACACATTTTTGCGATTTCTCGGAAACCAATGGAGCTACTAAATTAGTTTTAGTGGCGTTGAAGAACACCTAAAAGACACCTAATTCCTGCACATATGTATTTCGAAAATTTAAAACAAAAATTTAAAGATTGTTCAGCTAGGTTAACAGCGCTAAGCTAGCTGAAAAACATATTTTTGCGAATTTCTCGGAAACAAATGGAGCTACTAAACTAGTGTTAGTGGCGTTGAAGAACACCTAAAAGACACCTAATTCCTGCACATATGTATTTCGAAAATTTAAAACAAAAATTTAAAGATTGTTCAGCTAGGTTAACAGCGCTAAGCTAGCTGAAAAACATATTTTTGCGAATTTCTCGGAAACAAATGGAGCTACTAAACTAGTGTTAGTGGCGTTGAAGAACACCTAAAAGACACCTAATTCCTGCACATATGTATTTCGAAAATTTAAAACAAAAATATAACGATTGTTCTGCTAGGTTAACAGCGCTAAGCAAACTGAAAAACACATTTTTGCGAATTTCTCGAAAACCAATGGACCCACTAAATTAGTTTTAGTGGCGTTGAAGAACACCTAAAAGACACCTCATTCCTGCACATATGTGTTTCGAAAATTTAAAACAAAAATTTAAAGATTGCTCAGCTTGGTTAACAGCGCTAAGCTAGCTGAAAAACTCATTTTTGCGAATTTCTCGGAAACCAATGGAGCTACTAAATTGGTTTTAGTGGCGTTGAAGAACACCTAAAAGACACCTCATTCCTGCACATATGTGTTTCGAAAATTTAAAACAAAAATTTAAAGATTGTTCAGCTAGGTTAACAGCGCTAAGCTAGCTGAAAACACACATTTTTGCGAATTTCTCAAAAACCAATGGACTCACTAAATTAGTTTTAGTGGCGCTGAAGAACACCTAAAAGAGATCTAATTCCAGCATATATTTGAAAATTTAAAACCAAGGTTTACGTAAACCTAGCTGACCCACACATTTTTGCGAATTTCTCGGAAATCAATGGAGCTACTAAAATAGTTTTAGTGGCGTTGAAGAACATCTAAAAGACATCTCATTCCTGCATATAATTTTTTGGAAAATTTGAAACAAAAATTTAAAGATTGTTAACTAGGTTAAGCTAAGCTAGCTAAAAACACACATTTTTCGAATTTCTTGAAAACTAATGGAGCTACTAAATTAGTTTTAGTGGCGTTGAAGAACATCTAAAAGAGATCTAATTCCAGCATATATTTGAAAATTTAAAACCAAGGTTTACGTAAACCTAGCTGACCCACACATTTTTGCGAATTTCTCGGAAATCAATGGAGCTACTAAAATCGTTTTAGTGGCGTTGAAGAACATCTAAAAGAGATCTAATTCCAGCATATATTTGAAAATTTAAAACCAAGGTTTACGTAAACCTAGCTGACCCACACATTTTTGCGAATTTCTCGGAAATCAATGGAGCTACTAAAATCGTTTTAGTGGCGTTGAAGAACATCTAAAAGAGATCTAATTCCAGCATATATTTGAAAATTTAAAACCAAGGTTTACGTAAACCTAGCTGACCCACACATTTTTGCGAATTTCTCGGAAATCAATGGAGCTACTAAAATCGTTTTAGTGGCGTTGAAGAACATCTAAAAGAGATCTAATTCCAGCATATATTTGAAAATTTAAAACCAAGGTTTACGTAAACCTAGCTGACCCACACATTTTTGCGAATTTCTCGGAAATCAATGGAGCTACTAAAATCGTTTTAGTGGCGTTGAAGAACATCTAAAAGACATCTCATTCCTGCATATATGCATTTCGAAAATTTAAAACAAAAATTTAAAGATTGTTCAGCTAGGTTAACAGCGCTAAGCTAGCTGAAAAACACATTTTTGCAAATTTCTCGAAAACAAATGGACCCACTAAATTAGTTTTAGTGGCGTTGCAGAACACCTAAAAGATATCTAGTTCCAGCATATATTTGGAAAATTTAAAACCAAGCTTTACGTAAACTTAGCAGACCCACACAATTTTGCGAATTTCTCGGAAACCAATGGGCTACTAATTTAGTTTTAGTGGCGTTGAAGAACACCTAAAATACACCTAATTTCTGCACATATGTGTTTCAAAAATTTAAAGATTGTTCAGCTAGGTTAACAGCGCTAAGCTAGCTGAAAAACACATTTTTGCGAATTTCTCGAAAACCAATGGAGCTACTAAATTAGTTTTAGTGGCGTTGAAGAACACCTAAAAGACACCTAATTCCAGCATATATTTGGAAAATTTAAAACAAAAATTTAAAGATGGGTCAGCTAGGTTAACAGCGTTAAGCTAGCTGAAAAACAAATTTTTGCGAATTTCTCGAAAACCAATGGAGCTACTAAATTAGTTTTAGTGGCGTTGAAGAAAACCTAAAAGACACCTAATTCCAGCATATATTTGGAAAATTTAAAACAAAAATTTAAAGATGGGTCAGCTAGGTTAACAGCGTTAAGCTAGCTGAAAAACAAATTTTTGCGAATTTCTCGAAAACCAATGGAGCTACTAAATTAGTTTTAGTGGCGTTGAAGAAAACCTAAAAGACACCTAATTCCAGCATATATTTGGGAAATTTAAAACTAAAATTTAAATTAGGTTTACGTAAACCTATCTGACCCACACATTTTTGCGAATTTCTCGGAAACCAATGGAGCTACTAAATTAGTTTTAGTGGAGTTGAAGAACACCTAAAGGACACCTGATTCCAGCATATATTTGGAAAATTTAAAACTTAAATTTAAAGACCCACAAATTTTTGCGAATTTCTCGGAAACCAATGGAACTACTGAATTAGTTTTAGTGGCATTGAAGAACACCTAAAGGACACCTAATTCCTGCATATATGTATTTCGAAAATTAAAAAACAAAAATTTAAAGAATGTTCTGCTAGGTTAACAGCGCTAAGCTAGCTGAAAACACACATTTTTGCGAATTTCTCGTAAACCAATGGAGCTACTAAAATAGTTTTAGGGACGTTGAAGAACACCTAAAAGACACCTAATTCCAGCATATATTTGGAAAATTTAAAACCAAGATTTAAAGATGGTTTACGTTTACCTAGCTGACCCACACATTTTTGCGAATTTCTCGTAAACCAATGGAGCTACTAAAATAGTTTTAGGGACGTTGAAGAACACCTAAAAGACACCTAATTCCAGCATATATTTGGAAAATTTAAAACCAAGATTTAAAGATGGTTTACGTTTACCTAGCTGACCCACACATTTTTGCGAATTTCTCAGAAACCAATGGAACACCTAAATTAATTTTGGAGGCCCTAATTAACACCTAAAAGACACCTAATTCCAGCATATATTTGGAAAATTTAAAACCAAGATTTAAAGATGGTTTACGTTTACCTAGCTGACCCACACATTTTTGCGAATTTCTCAGAAACCAATGGAACACCTAAATTAATTTTGGAGGCCCTAATTAACACCTAATTCCTAGCTAATTTTTATTGATTTTTTGCGACTTGGGTCAGCTAGGTTTACGGACGTNGGCGTTGAAGAACACCTAAAAGACACCTAATTCCAGCATGTATTTGGAAAATTTAAAACAAAAATTTAAAGATGGGTCAGCTAGGTTAATAGCGGTAAGCTAGCTGAAAACACATTTTTGCGAAATTCTCGGAAGCCAATGGAGCTACTAAATTAGTTTTAGTGGCGTTGAAGAAAACCTAAAAGACACCTAATTCCAGCATATATTTGGGAAATTTAAAACTAAAATTTAAATTAGGTTTACGTAAACCTATCTGACCCACACATTTTTGCGAATTTCTCGGAAACCAATGGAGCTACTAAATTAGTTTTAGTGGAGTTGAAGAACACCTAAAGGACACCTGATTCCAGCATATATTTGGAAAATTTAAAACTTAAATTTAAAGACCCACAAATTTTTGCGAATTTCTCGGAAACCAATGGAACTACTGAATTAGTTTTAGTGGCATTGAAGAACACCTAAAGGACACCTAATTCCTGCATATATGTATTTCGAAAATTAAAAAACAAAAATTTAAAGAATGTTCTGCTAGGTTAACAGCGCTAAGCTAGCTGAAAACACACATTTTTGCGAATTTCTCGTAAACCAATGGAGCTACTAAAATAGTTTTAGGGACGTTGAAGAACACCTAAAAGACACCTAATTCCAGCATATATTTGGAAAATTTAAAACCAAGATTTAAAGATGGTTTACGTTTACCTAGCTGACCCACACATTTTTGCGAATTTCTCAGAAACCAATGGAACACCTAAATTAATTTTGGAGGCCCTAATTAACATCTAAAAGACACCTAATTCCTAGCTAATTTTTATTGATTTTTTGCGACTTGGGTCAGCTAGGTTTACGGACGTCCATTATATGCATTTCAAGTTTAGAAAAAACTTTCATTACTAATTTGTATGATATCGGCTAAAACACTTGAACTTATCGCAACAGAGAAATATTATTTTATCAGTTTGAACCCTATTCGATCCAAGGTT